TAAACCCCTCATTTAGAACACAACAAAGTCAGAGATACGAGTCTCCTGTCAACAATCTGAAGCCAAACAGAATGAGAGAAGAGAAAGTGTTCGGGAAACGGGAAGAGGCGAAACAAATTTACGGCTGTGAAGGTTCCCAGGCAGTGCCCACTCGTCCTTCTTATATAAATAGGTTAAGTAAGTGCAAAGGATTTAGGAGACAGGCTGGGTTAAGAAATGGAGTAGGGGGAAGTTGATCAGGGTCTTTGCGATAATTTTAAATTTTGATATTTTTCTTGGAAGGGCGGCGTTTGGAAAAAGGTTTAGTCTACGTTAATATTGGGGGGGGGGGGGGGGTGCTATAGAGCGGAATTTTGATGTTGACACTGGGAGGGCTGCATAAGAGGCATGCAGACCAACGTGAAATTAAGCTGGTCTAAATAATAGTTTTGAATTCAGTCCGTACCTCAAAGAAAACGCAGCATTTCACCTTTAAAAAATCAACTGGTTAACGATTTTTAAGGAAATAATCGCTGTTTATTCTGAGAGTCGTGCGAAACATAAATAGAAAAAATGCAGGTGGTATATGTTACGGGGCTCAAAAAAAAAATGTACCAAATTCCGTAAATAAAATCCAGGCCTTCTGTCACTCGATTCCGTGTAGGCGTTTTTTATTACACACACGTCGACATTCTGCAGTGCACTCCTTCCTCTGTCAGTATCAAAGAGCAAACTTCCATTTCTAGCAACAAAGGCAATATCAAAGGAATATCGACTTCACAGCGTGAACGAAAAAAGAGCCCGTAACCTTAGAATCCGTGGAAGTCCACTCCGGTTATAATGAGGGCGGTTGAACGTAGAACGGCCGACTCATGGCAAGAGAGATCATTACGGGTTCGGCCATGAGATGAAGTGACCCATTTTATGTTGTGGGCTGTGGGGGGGGGGGGGGGGGGGGAGAAAGTAAGTTAAGCTGATAAAAGTTCCCGTTAAAGGCCCAGTTCCACAGAGCCAGAGTGTTACCATCACAACAATAACCTGAGGACGCGGTAAAGTGTATTAATGGCTACTTGGAGTAGAGGTCAGCAAATGTAATGTTTCCTCTTTATTAACAACGTTCATTAAACTTACCGATCTGTTTCACGAGTCACATCGGAGAGAATTTCTGCAAATTTTCATGTGTGTTTCGTGCACAGTTTAACGATATTAGCAAATATGAAGAATGGATAAGAATTCAAATATATTGATATGTAATTGTGAAAAGAAATCATATACTTTTTTTATACATTTTTCCATACAGTATTATTGTTGTTTATTATGCCCTTGTGGGTTACAGTTTTTACTAGCATTCCTCATTGTCAGAACTAAGCCGACCGCAGTCGACATTTTCACCATCGTCAGAGCCTCAGATGTTAAGATTGTTAAACCGAACCTTGTGCATTAATTGTACTGTAGTGTCTATGTTTAACAGTCACACTGTCTCGGAATGATTCACAAAATTTGTCTTATTAATTTTTCTGAAATTTTTATATAATTTATTCTCCTTTCTACGAGCTATTTCTGGTTTCTTTACGTTTAAATTGACCTAGTTTCACTACTGTTTGTTACCTTTTATCATAAAATATTCTTTGTGTTTCGCTTTTAATGATTCCTTGCAGTGTCGTCTTCCGCATTTCTCTGTCTAATCTCCTTGTCTTGGACCCACCTACCTCGTTATTTTTAAGTTATTTGTTCTCAATCACATCCGTGGAGCATTCTAGAATTGTATTATCGTTTGTGTTGTAACATTTCCACGCAGTTCTGAGAACAATTATGTCTACAAGTTGAGTTGTCTCAAATGTACCTACTTTTCTGTGAATGTCGTAGCAAGATCCAAAGCTACCGCAGGCTTCCATTTGAAACGAAATTACGAAAATTAATTGCTTTGACACAGGTTCCAATTTAACTTCATTTATGAAGAGATGTGTTACATCTATGAAATATATGGATGTTGAAAACATAATAATTGCGTGTAGCAAGTCTAAAATTTTGTAAGTTTGCTGCCTAATGTGATTCATTATACGTTTCTAAACGTACGGATAGGTTGAGTATCAGTCTTAAAAAAACAACTGAAATTTTTTTGTTCAGCGAGTGTCTAGTACTTTGGCTCGTATCCGAAGCTCTAATACATTTTACGCACATTTATCAACTCGTAATGTTCTAGAGAATAGAATCTGTGGGCTATCACATTAGCCATGTGGATAGAGTATAGTCTGCATGTGACAGAACGGAATCGATTTAACAATTCAGGTAATGGATGGTACTTCAGTACGTGATTAATATGCCATCATTAGCTGATGCTTCAGAGGACTTGAGTGGAGTTTTCACTGACGTGTTACGTGTTGTATAGGGCACATGTACCTGCACACTTCCATTGTGTAGCGTTATGACAGAGTAGTGGAAACCATAAGCATCAGAACGTCTTGTATGATAATGGAAAATGAATGTTAAAGTAGGTGGTATATATAATTACCACTTGTCTTTAAAGCGTTAAGGAGTCTAAGAAGTGTGACTGTGGGGATGTTAAAGTGTGGTTGGATCGTCACTTCAGACGCTGGTCTATGATGAGAAAATTTTTGCAAGACTTATTTTGAAGAAAAGTGCCTAAAATTCCACTTTTAAATTTTATAATTATATGTAAATACTAATTTAAAGCGTCGTATTTTGATGAAAGGCCATAAGGGGAAAGAGGAATCGATGAAACTATTAGCTTCTCAATTGCGAGTTGCTGTTTTCAAAGGGGATTGCCTTACAGTGGTTTGGTTCCTTAACTTCAGCTGCCAAGTGCAACACATTACGAGGACTTGTTTTGTCTGTTAACGTGGCTACTGAATCATTATCCCAAATGTAGACCTTGTTGACGAGAACAGCCCTAACATCGACCAGACTACACGGCGCAACAACCCAGAAGACAGAAATCTTCGAAGTAATTCATCGCCCTGATGACGGAGGCAGTATGACCTCTGAAACGTTCGTAAACATCGACCAGACTACACAGCACAACAACCCAGAAGACAGAAATCTTCGAAGTAATTCATCGCCCTGATGACGGAGGCAGTATGACCTCTGAAACGTTCGTAAACATCGACCAGACTACACAGCACAACAACCCAGAAGACAGAAATCTTCGAAGTAATTCATCGCCCTGATGACGGAGGCAGTATGACCTCTGAAACGTTCGTAAACATCGACCAGACTACACAGCACAACAACCCAGAAGACAGAAATCTTCATACTCTGATGACGGAGGCAGTATGACCTCTGAAACGTTCGTAAACATCGACCAGACTACACAGCGCAACAACATAGAAGACAGAAATCTTCATACTCACCGTTGTGAGAACCTCAAATCTTACGAGAGACTTTTCCTCTACGTGTTTTAGAAAGGTCGAAGTTCATAACCTTCCACGTATGTAACGCACAGTCTAAACTAATTCATGATTTCTTCGTGACAGATATGTGAGACCTGCTGGCCTTGCATGTCTTCTGTGGGGAAAAAATATTTAGTTTCATATAAGTTGGATATCATGCAGGACTTTTCTTATTCTCACTCTCATGTGTAAAAGTGACGCGTTCTTGCACCGCCATTGCTAGATCCTCCGTTAAACACCGTAATGTCAATTTTTAGAATGTACTTACGATCGTCGGAAAATTGGAAGCTCACTCCTATTATTTGTCCCTGCCGAAAATGTTGATTCTTTTAACCTTGACAGGATGGCCAAAGATCATATCTGATAGCCGCGAGCCCACAACGAAACATCTCCAAGAATTACGAGACCGATTTAAATACGTAATCTGTGTCGCTGTGCGTGTGCAATTATGATGCACGGTAACATGCATATTCTTATTCTAATTTACACAGTTTAATTAAAATCAATACATCTTGCCCACGAAGCCGACTAGAATTCTGATTCGTTGCTCAAAAGATTTTTAAAATTCTTCTCCGTCGCAAAATATTATTATGATGATCACATCAAGGCATGTAACACGCATGGAGAGATTAGCAACGCATAAAAACTTTTTGTTGGAAAGCTTGAAGGAAAGAGACAACTCGGAAGAACAAGACGTAGATGGAAGTATATTAAAACGAATCGTAGGAAATCAGGATTTTGGTTTGGATTGGGCTTCGTAAAGGACATGGATATTCTTTATTACAAAGCAGTTATAGTTTTTCGTGGAACTAGTCAAACGCATTCTCACTAGGATTTGGATCACTGCTATTTAGAATATTAATATGCCCTCATATGTTTAGCTCCGCGAAGATAGTGACAAATTGTCTCTACGTCACACAACCATACAGACATAGTGGGGACTTTTAAGCCTCACCATTGGATGGAAGAGACGAATTTTCAGTTTCGTCTGTTTTTTTACCAGGAAAAGTGCGTTCATTCGTCAGGACAAAGATTAAACGAACACTTTAATCGGCACTGAACTCGTGGCAAAATGAACATTACGCAAGCCTTCCGGGAATCGAATCCAGGTCTTGTGACTAGTCACTTCAGGAACTGAGCTATTTCGTTTCACATGTTTTAACTCTGATTATAAGTGGATAGGCGTATTTTTTTTTGACTTCATCAATCGTTTGTTTCTTAAAAATGTCTTAATAATCTTAAGACCTTTTAATATCACTTCGCTTGGAAGGACGGACCTTAAATTGTCGTCAGGAAAGGGGGCCACCTATTCTGCTGGATGCGATAGACAAAGCTATTTCCGATCGGATTCGAAAATAAATTACTCGAGTCCCCAGGGTATATATACCAGTCAGGAGGACTTTCATCTGAAGTAATAATAGATAAACTTCATTGATAAAATTACAGGGGATTTCTAAGCCCCTGTAAGAGTCTTAGAACAGAAATACGTCGTCGTCGTCAGATAAACACACGAGTAATATTCTTATCCGAAGTATCAGAACTTCAGTCTAGCAGATATTAAATAATTCACACAAATTAAATAAAAGAGAATGGGTATTGTCGTCGACTTACCTTCGCTTCCTTCTTTTTAAGGAAGTGCTAATTTCCGCCTCTCCACACCCTTCGAGGTCACTTGACGGCGGAGAAACACGGGGGCCTTAGAGCCACGTGATCGTAGAGTACTAGGATTTCCCGTATTAGCAAGCGTCTTCAAGCGTCTTCAAGCGTCTTGGTTACCATGACGTTTCTACAGGCTGGCTACCTGCTGACTCGTTTACAGAGGGTCCCTTCTAGAGCGAGCTGTTTTGAACCTCTACCCGCTCATGCGCCTTTCTCTTGGTCGATAAACCCGAGCCATGCCTACGGCATGGAGAGACATCGGACCCCGTTCTTTACGTGTTCTGGTCGGCTGTTACCTGAGATCAATCCCAACGCAGTACCAACTGGCTTCTGCGTGTTCCTCATGTATTTATCAACGCACTGCGTGAGGTATATGGGCACATTAATCATCCTGTTACGTGCGTTGCGTAACACAATAGGCGAGAGCACGGATTGTTACGGAACATGATTCTGAACGTCATAGTTGAACGCTTTGCGCTCTGCTTCGTGTTAAGGGGGGGGGGGTCCCCGGGTTTAAATTTCGGCCCGGAGACCGGCGATCATAACAGACGATTTTTCAGTCTTTGTCAGGAAGTCCATCGAACTCTCGGGATAGCGCCTTCAATTTGGCCACGACCACTTCCTTTCATACCTCTATAATTCATTTTTCAATGACTATTCCATCATTCGACTTTATGTAGGCAAATATACTGACATCTATAGTTAATAAATGACAAATAAATAAATATTTATTTGTATTTCTTAATGTGATCTTTCAGGGTTTATTTCCGTAATTTTGGATAAATTCCCCATCTTCCGCATGCGTGCTGTATGCCACACCCATCTCATTCTAGGTGATTTAATAACGCTAATAATAATTGGTAAAAATGGACGAATTATGAAGCTATATTTTATGTCATTTTTTCCATCCTGTTATTTCATCTCTCTTAATATTTGCATCGGCTCTGAAGTATCTCAATTGTATTTATAAGTGTGCGAAAAATGTGGTGTAAGAATAAGTCACAGTTTACTGGTATTAATAAAAAGAAGGCTTGGCCCTTTGTAACACTAACGTGAATTATGTCGAGGGCTCAACATTCTTTTATTTCTATCAAATTTTCCTTCTCGTGTCAGTTATTGAAGGAGATGCTATAATACTCTCATCTCTGTGTGTGTGTGTGTGTGGGGCGTGCTATTTATTCGGTAGAAACTGTCAGTATCTTATTAGTGTTGTTAATTATGCTTTTTGTGAGTCACGTGGTAAATCATTAACATGTCAGAGTCTATTTGTAATTTCCCTATCTCTCTACTGTCTCTGTAGGCGTATGTAATGCGCGATTAACCAGTTTTGCATGCGCCCGGGTTGTAGGCTGACGTGTTTCCCTGATGTGCCGGAAGAGATGTCTAAGAATCCAGGCGGCAGTGAACGCAGCTGAAAATTTATAACGAATTTGTGTTTGGTTTCAGTTTCTTTCTGAAACTTTTCGCCTGCTGGGACCTTAAATCTTCTTTAACAAACTACGTAGGTAGAAGCAAGATAACAAGTTAGCGTTTCAGTGTGGAAATTCAGTGTCGATCTCTGCTGAAATGACACCGAAAAAGGATTTTGACATAATAATACGCCAAGCTTTTATTTTATTTAAAAGGGCCTTCGAGTAGAAGACATTAAAAATCAATCATTTCCAGTCTTTATAATCGTACATTGCTTCAGCGTAGACAATTTAATGGCTATTAATAAACTTAATAACTTACAATTTTAATAAAACAGAGTGAGATCTGAGATTCTCACGGCGGCGAGTATGAAGATGGCTGTCTTCCGGGTTGTAGCGCCCTGTAGTCTGGTGGAAGTTTACAAACGTTTCAGAGGTCCTTGCTGCCTCCATCATCAGGACGATAAAATTACAGGACGCAACAATCCAGTAGACAACCGTCTTAATAGAACAAAATGTCCATGCTTGATTTAAAATTGAAATCTGTCATCCCGGAACTTAACCATTATAACTCTCAAGTTCTGGTTGATTAATGTGGATGATCTTGTTCTGCTTTATGAACATCTGATTATTTAGCACTTAAGCTAGTTATGATTAAGGTAATAGTAAATATGTATATACTATCATAATTTTACGTGTCTTTAGTTATAAATTATGTTTCGCTCGTAGATAAAAGTATGAAAAGTAATGTTCGGTAAACGTTAATTCGGGATTTCGAGAAACCCAACTCTGTCTTAGACGTGTTTTTATTTCACATCAGAATAGTTTTTATCAATATTATAATCACGTGCAACGCAGTTGTGACATTTGTAGGAAAGTTAACAATAAACACGACCTTCTACGTAGCTATTATAAAATTTCCCTGTATTTGTAGCTTTATAGTATACAAACTGTACGCCTATCTGTACTGTTGATATTGATTTTATATAGCACAATGCAAAACGAACTCTGACGCAAAGTTTTGTGTGTTGACGTTTATATGTTCTTTCGAAGGACATAAAATGAATAATGCAAAGGATTATGCCCGCCTGACACTGGGCTTCCACCTTCGAAACCATTTAACACATTCCAATTACGTTTTGTATTTGAGAGCTTCATGAAAAGTCTTCGAACTCACACAAGAGCGCGGAGGTGACCGTGGGCCTGCGTACGAGCTCTTTTAACTTCCATTAACTTTGCATTTGCCCATAGAGAATGTTTCTGGCTTTCATTTGATTCTAAGAATAAACAGCGACTTATATCTCTAAGCAGACTTAACCATTTGTTCCTTCTATTGGAAACGCGTTATATTTCCTTTGATATTGCAAATAGGGTGCAGAGGAGGACATTTTGACCCAGGAGGGTTGACATATATTAGGAATTTAGAATAATGCATAACGAGGAACTTCGTGAATTGTACGGGTCACCTAGAATTCTGAGGATAGTGAAATCTAGGAGGCTCCAATGGACTGATGGACATATAGCACGCACAGAGGGGGGCAAGGGGTGCATACAGGATTTTGGTGGGGAATCCTTCTGGAAAACGACCACTGGGCAGACCAAGAAAGAGACGGTAGGATAACATCAAGATGGATCTTAGCGAGGTGGGCTGTGGGGATGGCAAATGGATAGAGTTGACTCAGGATCGTGGCCGGTGGAGGGCTTTGGTGTTGAACCTGCGGGTTCTTCTACCAGGGACTTAGTTATACGAACTTAATTCTTAAATATTACGTAGGTGAAATTCATGTTTCAAAGAGTTAATTAGTTTTTTGTATTGATCGCCTATGGCCTCAGGTTTACATGGCAATGAAATTTAAATTTGTTATGAAAGTTATAAAGAAATATGACTTACAGATTTATTAAACTCGTTATAAAATTTTTATTTTAATGAAATATGGAACCGGCTTCTGAAGAGAGACTTTCTTCCTTGGAATTGGTTATTTGGTAATTTAATCATTTTAATAGATGATTGTACGCATATGACGATGCATAATGGATTATATCCAAACGTAATGATTAAAGAATTATCTGGTAGCAAAACTTTACTTAAATTGTGCATTTGTGTTCTTGGAATATGACCCAGATAAACTTGGTTTGATATGTCGAGTAGATTTAGATTATCGATTCCATTACTTTGAGTGAATCATGAGCTATCATATGTTAGTAAGTGACGGCTTAACAAACAAGCTCGGAGGGTAAATGATAATAATAAGTTGTTGCTCGTAACTAAGGCAGGTTCACGAAGTGGGAGGTACTTGATAGGAACTTCGTGTAAACTTTGTGACAACGCTAACCCCCAATCCCTTTATCAGCACACATACATCGGGTCTTGTCTACCTCTGTTCTGATTTCCCTTGTGGATCGAAAGTTTGTTCATTTCTACTTACCTTTATATCCCCCCTGAGGCTGGGTCCGGGGGCCCTGAAATCAATGTCACCCGAATGCCAGGCGTCACACTGACATTGGTATTATATCACGACAGGCGAATTGTTTTACTTCGAGCGGGTTTGTGCTCAAACATACAACTGAATCCGAGCAGACTGAAGGGAAATTATAGGCAGGAAGAGGCCTAACTCGTAGTTATCGAATTAAATTATACAAATTGAAACCAAAATAAACTTACATACGTGTAGCTAGTTACAATGGAATCACATTCTGGGAATTCCTTATTTCGTAACTGAAGTTTTGGGCTTCCGAAGGAAACCTTCGGAACCCTACTGTTGAACATCATGCATCTTCCGTTCTGATATTAAAATATAAATATTGTTGCTATAAATTTTGTTTAAATTTTTGATCGTTTTTCAACATTTGTTGCTTCAATACTTAAGGCCTATAAAAGAAATCTATCCGGAAACTCTCGGACTGACATTGTCGTGACCCTGACATTAAGTTGACCTGTCCGTGACCTCAAACTGACATGAGTATTGTCACTCAGATTCTTACAGATCGGGAGAAATATGCGTTTGAAAAAAATGACTTTTGAATTAACTTGGAAAATTTAAAAGGCCTCTACTCGGAACACCCGTGGACTGATCTTTATAATATATTAGATATTAGGGTGTTCAAATAAAGGATGCTTAGGTAAGATGCAACATGCAGCACACGTGGCAGAGATGAGAAATGTTTTTAAATTGTTCCTCGGAAAAATTGAAGAGACCAGGTAGAAGGATAATATTAAAATTAATATTAGTACAATGGGGTATGAAGAAATGCGTTAGATTCAACTTACACATGATGTTGTCCAGTGACGGGCTGTTGTGAACACGGTATTGAAGTTTAGGGAGCATGTTGTACCATGTTAAGCAGATTCATCAGAATTTTTACAACACGCTTGTTTGTTGCTTGCGAAGTGACATTTGGATCATTTCGTTTGTTATCGGGTGTGGAGCGTGGCTATTCGGTTTACCTCCCGTTCTCACTTCTGCTGCTTTCTGGTCTCCTGAGAACGCGGTTTAGCAGCGAGGCGTGACGTCATCTTGTGCGCGGGAGATGAGGTTCAGAGTTTGACTGACACATTTATTTATTTATTGATTTAGTTTTAAAAAGGAGGGCATCTCCTTTTCACACATGGAAAATAGGATCAAGCCAACTGTGATTAACACATGCGTTCTTTTGTATATTGTATAATCCACTTTTTAATTTATGTTCACCGAATTTGTCTGTTGTTTCTTTGTTACATGATTCAAAGAAAATATTTTATTTCTTTTTGCGAGTACAGTAGCTACACTGTGAGCGACAGGCCCTATGCAGATTTGAGAACGTAAAGGCAGACTTTCTTTTACGTTGTACGGTCTCTTAGGTAGATACCATCATTTCGGGGGGGGGGGACATACAGTCTCCATCTTCAACCCTCAAGAGTCCACACAGCGTCACAACATTGACATCTTCACCACCGTGAGAACCTCAAATTCAGAGTTATTACTAACATATAAATAAGACGTTTTTATTAATATATTTTAAATATGACTTTGTTCCGGGATGCTGCGCTGTGTAGTCTGAAAAAAGTTTATCGACGGTCCAGAGATGATTATTGCATCTATAATCATGGCCTGATAATGGAGGAAGTAAGAACCTCTGAAACGTCGGTAGACTACCAGGCTCAGATGAGGCAACATCTTAGAACACAGTCATCTTCATATTCGCTGCCGCGAGGACCTGAAATATCACTCACCGTGTTTTAAAGCTTAACATGGAAAATATTCCCCTGAGAATGACCTCAGACTCTTCAGAGTTAGTGGTTTATTCACCGGATTAGTGTAGAACATTGTCACACAATTGTTTACATATATCAGCATCACTTTCTGTGTTTGGAAAGAGTCGCGTAAAAGAGTTCTCCTACAAAGATAATGAAACTCAGAATGTAACCTACAAAGAGTATGAAGAAAGTCACTTTTAAGTGTGAGAGCGAAAATGCAAAATACAGATCATTATCACCAGCATTGCCGTCGTATGTAGAATTTCCGCTGCTCTTCAGGTGGTATTCCCATTTCAACATTGTCCAGTATCTGTCTACGAGACCAGCATCAATAGTGCGTAGGATAATAGTATTGAATCTATCCAACAGAGGACTCCCTAGTTGCAAATACATGACAAAAAACATTTTATGTATATCCTCATTAAGAAAGCAAACATTTATCCATCTTTTGTAGATTGGAATAAGTTTAAATGCGAGATATTCAGCTTGTAATGGAATCGATATCATTGTGATGTCCTGTGATATCATCAGACGCTCCAAACACTTTTCGTGGTCTAGGCATTTCATACGACGTAAGTTAAGTTTCGTGTGATCATAATACGTGGTACTGTTGAGAGCTATTTCTGTGCCTTCTTGAAAAGCATAAATTAATCCAGAGTTCATGAGATCGTCAAACGTTGAAATTTGTCGGCGAAATCCGGGCTTCACGAGGAAGGTTACGAAGAAAGCTTGGAAAATAATGTTTATCACGAAGCAGTACGAAAGGAAAATCAAGAGGAAAATTCTGAGTCTGGAAGTGCGAGGCAATCTTGCGACAGCCACACCCATGAAGATAGCCCAAACGTCGTGAAAGCTACGAGTCATCGAGTTGTACAGGGCAGATTCGTAGCTTCTAGTGCCTAGAAAGCAGACGGTAGCCGTTGTCAAAATCAGAACCAGAATCAGCGTCAACCAGACGGGCACAGTGAAGATTCCAAGAATTGTTTCTATTCTGGGAACGGGCGTAGGGCATGGGACAAACCACTGGAAAACAGTTTGAAGGTACGGAGTTGTTGCGTCAGCAAATTCCAAAATAGACAAATGCATCGGAAAGGCTCCGAGGACAACATCGAGCTCTCCAAAGCTTAAACTCATCAATATCGATGTTCGCTGACTAACACTACTTCCTGCTGGTGTGGGCAGATACACAAGAGTCATATTCATAAATTTGCTAACGATATGAAGGAACTCGATTTCCAAACCTCTGTATTTCTGGATATTACCGTCTTGAATGTCGTGACGAAAAACGTATGGCTCGCTACCAGCCACTGACACTTTCAGAGGACAGGCCTGTAAGTTTAGAGGAATTTTCTGGGGGAATAACAACACGTCTTTAAATGAATATCCATTGTCAGTAATGATCCATCGATCTAGTATGGTGACTTCTTGTACGTTGGCACAGTGTCCTGAACGATACGGAAACCAGGTGTATAATTCAAAAGCCATTGGCTCTTCTTTATTTGTTGCGTTGTCGTACGTAGGCACTAGGAGAACGATGTTCATGATGTTTTCACTCTTCCAAAGTTTGTCGAATAGTTTAAGTGCAAAGAGCTTTGGCTGTTGTGTCTTGCCAGTTACCATTACAAAGAAATCGGCTCGCTGGTTCCACGATCTTAAACGCTGGAAACTGCCAAACTGTTGGAGCGCGTTCTCAGATATCTCATCGTCCGTGTGTTCTGGAGTTGTGACCACTAGGTAGTAATCAATTTTTCCCTCAACTTCGGACGTTGGCTCTGATGATGACTCGTCATCAGGCGTGGAGACACAAAGGTGCCAGCGTGACTCGTGATGAATTGTCTTCAGCATGAAGTCCAGCACGTGAGAGTCATAACTGCTCTTTAGGGTGTGTACGATGGCGCGTTGCTGAGTAGCGTTGTGTCCAGTCTGGGGTAGTGAGAATAATAGACGTCGCCCTGGAATGAAGTGTTGGTTTAAGACTGCCATCTGACACGAAATAAGTTGGCGTTCTTCCGAAGTAAGGAGGCTTGCCAGTACAATGTGGATGTTTGCGATTACTGTCAGTATTGGAAATAGTTTCATCCTGATTTCGCACCTGAAATAAGAGACGATAACACAAGTGATCTCTGTAGTATTTTAAATTCCTGTATCTGAGCCGAAAGCCCATTATACCCTATATGTCTACGGATTTCGTGGGTTTTGTTCAGTGTTCGCAAGGAAATAGATTCCTAAAAAGTGTTTTATTTCCATGATTAGGAAAAAATTATGATATAATTTCTGAATCATGGTTTTACTGACACTTTCAGAGGACAGGCCTGTAAGTTTAGAGGAATTTTCTGGGGGAATAACAACACGTCTTTAAATGAATATCCATTGTCAGTAATGATCCATCGATCTAGTATGGTGACTTCTTGTACGTTGGCACAGTGTCCTGAACGATACGGAAACCAGGTGTATAATTCAAAAGCCATTGGCTCTTCTTTATTTGTTGCGTTGTCGTACGTAGGCACTAGGAGAACGATGTTCATGATGTTTTCACTCTTCCAAAGTTTGTCGAATAGTTTAAGTGCAAAGAGCTTTGGCTGTTGTGTCTTGCCAGTTACCATTACAAAGAAATCGGCTCGCTGGTTCCACGATCTTAAACGCTGGAAACTGCCAAACTGTTGGAGCGCGTTCTCAGATATCTCATCGTCCGTGTGTTCTGGAGTTGTGACCACTAGGTAGTAATCAATTTTTCCCTCAACTTCGGACGTTGGCTCTGATGATGACTCGTCATCAGGCGTGGAGAGACAAAGGTGCCAGCGTGACTCGTGATGAATTGTCTTCAGCATGAAGTCCAGCACGTGAGAGTCATAACTGCTCTTTAGGGTGTGTACGATGGCGCGTTGCTGAGTAGCGTTGTGTCCAGTCTGGGGTAGTGAGAATAATAGACGTCGCCCTGGAATGAAGTGTTGATTTAAGACTGCCATCTGACACGAAATAAGTTGGCGTTCTTCCGAAGTAAGGAGGCTTGCCTGTACAATGTGGATGTTTGCGATTACTGTCAGTATTGGAAATAGTTTCATCCTGATTTCGCACCTGAAATAAGAGACGATAACACAAGTGATCTCTGTAGTATTTTAAATTCCTGTATCTGAGCCGAAAGCCCATTATAGCCTATATGTCTACGGATTTCGTGGGTTTTGTTCAGTGTTCGCAAGGAAATAGATTCCTAAAAAGTGTTTTATTTCCATGATTAGGAAAAAATTATGATATAATTTCTGAATCATGGTTTTATAAAGCATTGCTTGCGTATAATTTTTTGATAAAAAGTTTTCCAGCTGTTGGAAAGAAAGCCTTCAACATCCTTAAACTTATTTGACATAAAAGAAATATTTTGCATGCCTGCTTTTTGTGAAATGATAGTTCTCTATTCAAACGTGATAACTCAACAGGTCTACGAGCAAATTACAGAGCCAATTGAGAGATCTAGACTTAGCATACCAAATATCAGCCACACGTGTCCACTAATTCAAATGATTTTATACAGCAGGGACACAAAATTGACTAGGAATATGTTACAGAGGCTGGACTTTACCTTCGCTGTTCTACTTATCAGATAGACATAATCATACTTATACAGTGGCTAATTGAAATGAAAAATTAATTTCGAAATTAGTCATGATGAAGATGGATGTGTTCTGGGATGTAGTGTCCTGTAGTTTTGTAGATATTGACTGACATTTCAGAGGAGCTTACTGCCTCATTAATTAGGACTAGACTACAAGGTGGTACATCCCAGAACAACATCTCTATACTCGTTGCTGATACCTGTAAATATTGAAGTATTTTAAAAGTGGTAAGAATACGTTGTTCTTCTGCGTAGTTTTAGATATGAACTACACTTTTATGTGCTTGGTGCCGATATAACGTCCCATCACTTAACAGCGGCTTTTTGTATCCACTCCACGCTTTTATTGATAAGTTTACTATATTCGTGTTGATGCAGATAAGGTACCATGAAATTGCTGAATAAAACATCGTTGATCCCCTGGGAAATGCAGTAAATTGTTGCAGGAAACATTAGTCTATAGACAGGTCATTTCTGTATTTTCGTCTGAGTTATACCATATCGTAAGTGTATGTCATTGGGGGTATAATAATTTGGTAAGTCTGTATACACACATACACACACCCGAGTTAGAAGTTTAATTATCAGTCCTTTAAGAATTAAATACAAGGAACAGTTAATAAAAAGCTAATAATCGCTCGCTCGGTAAGACATTTTACGGAATCTAATGGTTAAATATCTTCTTTATAAGAGCCCATCAGTAATCAGATTAATCCAATCTAAATCCAATATACTATTTCAAAAATGCATTTTAATATTATCCACCTACCTAAGCCTAGGTTAGGCTCTTACCTTCAGGGTTTCCGATGTGCAATTCTCTCAGCACCTATGCGTGCTACATACGCAGTCGGTCTCATCGTCCTTGATTTTATCACAGTGTTGTTATGCCGCGTAGTCTGGTAAAAGGTCACAGAAGTTTCGGAGGTTTTTGATGCTTCCATCATCACGGCGATGATCGCAACAACCCATAAGGCAGCCATCTTTGCACTTAGTGCAAGGTGGTCCTCAATGTGAGTTTTTTTGTTCATTAAGACAAATGGGGAAACTGGCAAGGAGTGACTTTAATAAATGATTACTTCAGCCAGATCGTGTTGTATTACGCGCTAGAATGCACTTAGCAATATTGAAGATGCTAGATCAAGCGGAATGAACCATTTCGGAAGTGAGCCACGAGCAAATATCTGTAACAAATTACGGCGATACCGATTTGGCCGCGGGACGCCATTATAACCACAAGTCATGCAGATTGTTAACTCGATACGGCAGAATGGATGTCACTGGAGGTACCTTAGGACACTGACAAGCACCCCACAAGATGTCTGCCTTGCCCGGAAGTGACCCGGGAAAAGTAGAATGCTATAGGCTTTAATGTTATTCAGTAGTTACTGAGGCATTATTTCACAGCTGCACAGGTGCCCAAAAAAAGGATGTATTATACACTTCAGCATTGTGGATACTTCGTTTTAGGACACTCTGTATTATTTATTCTACGCGCAATATTTATATTTGATTCGGAGCTCTCCTGTAGTTTTACGTGAAAAATCTGAAATATTAAGATAAGGAGACGAAAGTGTGAAAATGGAGTATATATTTTTTTCAAAAGCACTCTTTGCAAATTTGCATACTTTATTGGCCTTTGTGGTAATTTTTCAGACAGATATACTGTTGAAAATATAATGGACATTACAGAGAAGAATTATATTTCTATGAATTATGTTGAATGTTTAGCATAAGTTTTAAAAAAATTATTTATTAATTCGGTTTATACGTAAAGTAATCTCTTGACTGTCGATTATGGCTCGAAGATTTAGGAACCAGTATCATGAGAAGCTGATATTCTATCTGATCAACACAATTAACTCCACCGACTTATAGCATATGGTTTTTACCAAATTTTATAAAAAAATATATTCATTAGTTTCCAGGCTCAAACATCTGGACGAACATGAATTCATTATTATGAGTTAATCTTAAGACTCTCATAAAAGCCACTTTCTCGTCTTATGTATTGCAAGATACCGGATCCCTTCCTGTTTCTTGTGCGAAAAGAATTTTTGTTTTGCGATCGAGTGTCATTTTAATAAATGAATGGAATCTGTAATAAATCTGAAGCTGTTAAAATTTCGACAAATTCCGAAATACAATTTGCATCGTCGTACATACTCTGATACTTTATATCTACTCAATCTTATCCTGCGCATGCCCATACGTGAACACACAAACGGATATGGTTTCTACATCGCATGGCTGCCGCCAAGAAAGTTCGTAAAGTTTTTTAATTTACCCTACACTTCCGGTAATGGGCAATTTCCAACGTGAGCGCCAAACTTTGTTACGCGCTTTTAGATAAATCTTAAATTTATGAAGGGATTGAGGAAGTTCAAGACGACCACCTGGAAATTAAATAGATGAATCTTCAGAATGCTTTACCGTAGATTTACCCTTTAAAACCCACCCAATGGTAATTATATGTACCACTTTATTCAACATTCAGTAACTCAAAATTTTGCCTCTAAACTGTGTTTACCGGATTTATGTAATTTTTTTATATAAACAACGATTATTTTCCTGAACAACACTAACAAATTAATCTTTGCAATGTAAACGTGTTTTCTTTGCGGTACGGACCGAATTCGTAATTGTTATTTAGACGTGCTTCGGCTTCAGAGGGTTAAATTGTAACCTGTAAATTGTTTCACTGGTAGTTGAAAGTTTTACGGGAATGGAGTCACCAGCATACAGTGGCTTGGATTCTACCATCAGTGGAGTGCTATTGATTCTGAAGTGCAGCCAAACTCTGATTGTACGAGTTTAAATATAGACGTAGCTCAAAAGCAATGACGTCACGCTATTAAATTAAATATTAAACTGGGACTTTTATTCTCATACCGACTGTCCTACGGCGCCTCTCACCGAAGAAAGATGTCCATCCGCGTAACATCTCACAGTTCAGCTGAGTTACAAGGATAAGTAATGTTAATCACTGTTTATTCCGAGAATTGTACAGAACCTATAAAAAGGTGGATAAAATGCAGATTTATTGAACGTTAAAGAAATTGGTATCCATAGTTACCACTACGTTTTAACACTTTAGATCTTAATGGTACCTATTATGCCCACATTATTTGTCAGTAATTCTGCATCTTGTATTTCTTTTTTTTTTGGTTTCAAGTGATTATCAGTGTAAACAGGGATTATTTACTTAAACAGCGTTAACCAGCGGATCTTCGTAATGTTGAAGCGTTGTTTTCTTTGCGGTACGGACTGTTTAGACGAACTTCGGTTTCAAACAGTTAAAGTGCTTAGATACGTCCCAGAATGCAAATAAAAGTAACGCAGTACGATAATTTTTTATTATTTTAAAATATAGGCCTAACTTTTGTCCGTGGTCTTTGTAGCTGCTGGTGTCCTATCGGACCGCGTGTGACGTTTATGCAGATCCAAATAGAGCTTCCAGCCATTCTCGTAAATGGGATTTTCTGCAAGAAAATAAGAACACATATTCTTCAGGAAACCTGGCGAATTTGCT